TATATGATTTTTGCTTTATCCTTTGTGATTCAAGAAACATGATCTTTAAAGTACCAATGTTCTCATGTCCTAAAGGATAATGAATTTTATAAATGATCCATATACACAATGTTCTATATGTCAAGCTTTTAATCCTCATGGGTTTATATTTTTATTAATATTTATTAATATTCATCTGTTACACATGTCAGTTTCTGAGAATTCCGTTATGATCTATTGCTATGCACATTTACCTCTCTTCAAAAATCTACTAACATTTTTTGTTATTGAATTTCGAAGGTGTTTTACTTGGTGCCTAATGCTTGCTTTCTTGGTCTTTGATATGTGTATAGTGGTCTTCTGTTCTTAATACTAATTTTTCTCTAAGATCTAGTTCATCTTATGTAGGAAACTGATAAAAAGAAATCATGTCATTTCACTTTTGACAAGATAGCTTGGCATATCATTTTCTCATTATATACAACTTTTCTATGACCTAAAGTTCTTTTTTTTTTTTTTTTGGCCAGGGCTGGCTTTGAACCCACCACCTCCAGTATATGGTTCTGGTGCCCTACTCCTTTGAGCCACAGGCGCCGCCCTGAGCTAAAGTTCTTGATGTGTTTCCTGTGACTATTCTTTGTGAGTTATCCTTGAAGTCAATCTAACAATCTCTGCCGCTTACCTGGAGAATTTAATACATGTACATTTATTGTGATTAATACCTGTCACATTTTATTTAAAAAATAAAATAACTAAAAAAGCATATGTTTCAGGGCATAATAAAACAAACACCATTAATCTACTACCAAGTTAACAATTACAACATTACTAATATCACTGCATTTTTCTGAATACTCCTCTCCATCTTTTACCCCATCTGTACATCATCCTTAAGATAATTACTAGCTAGAATGATAAATGAAGTGATTTTTAAAAATTAATCTTATCAAATAATTATATATCTTTACAAAATATGCATTTTTTAGTTTATTTTTTTGAACTTCAAAAAATTGGTGTTATACTTTATATCACCTATGGGATATATTTTTGCATCCTCAACACTTTTTTTAGGTTCATCTGCGTTGTCATTTACAACTATAATTCATGCATTTTATTATTTAACAATATACAACTTAACCCAGTTTCCTATTTTTGAATATCCTCCTATTCCCTGTAGCCTCCTCCCTTATTTTTTTTATTAAAAATAATGCTGCTATAAATAATAGTTTTCTTTTGGTGGTGTGAACTTTACTTTCTGTGGGACGTGTCTCTTAGAGGGGAACTACTGGGTAATGATGTGCAAATGAGTAATTTTACGTAATGATGCCAAATTGTTTTTTAAATGGTTGAAAAAAAAAAAAAAACACCAGGGGCCAGAGTGGTAGCTCACACCTATAATCCTAGCACTCTGGCCAGAGGATCACTTGAGCTCAGGAGTTCCAGACCAACCTGAGCAAAAGTGAGACTCTATCTCTACTGAAAAAATAAATATTAGCCAGGAATTGCAGTAGGGCCTGTAGTCCCAGCTACATGGGAGGCTGAAGCAAGAGGATTGTTTGAACCTAGAAGTTTGATGTTGCTGTGAGGTAGGCTGACATTATGGAAGCACTCTAGCCTGCACAACATAATGAGACTCTGTCTAAACAAACAAACAAACAAAAAACAAATATTCAGGCTGGGTGACTAGGTACAGTGGCTCAGGCTAGTAATCCTAGAACTCTGGAAGGCAGAGGTGAGATCACTTGAGCTCAGACATTCAAGACCAGCCTGAGGAAGAGTGAGACCCCGTTTCTACTAAAAATAGAAAAAATAGCTGGTGACTTGTTGGATAACTGTTGTCCCAGCAACTTGGGAGGCTGGGGCAAGAGGATCACTTGAGCCCAGGAGTTTGAGGTTGCTGTGAGCTGTTCTGAAGTCATGCCACTCTACCTCAGGGCAATACAGGCAGAATCTATCTCCAAAAACAAGCAAAACACTCCATATTTTTAAGCCTGTGCTGATAAGCATCCATATCAATATCTGTTACCATGAGGATTTCTGTCATAGAGTAAGAATCAAAGGACATCTCACTGCAAGTTTAGGAATGGTATATGAACTGTCAGCAAATACAAGTGCAGTTTTCATTTCACAGCTTCAGCTTTTCCATTTCCTTACCTACTTTCAATTAATTGTTGTGTTATATTGTGAAAATGACAAGAAGAAAAAGCTTCAATAAAAAGTGCTGAAGACCGAGGACATTAATACCTCAATGAGGCAACCTGTCGTAAACCCTGTGCGCTACCATCATCCTTCTTTTCAGAAATTAGAATTGAGGTGATTGTCACAGACAATGAATGAATCCATTTTTTTTTTTCTTTTTGTTGTGCTGAAAGGTAACTCTGTTTTAGGTGACTGTTTTGACAGTGAAACTGGGTTTACCAGGTAGGTTTTATGGTAAAAAAAAAAACAAAAAATTCTATAAATGCAATAAGTTAAATTACACTCCAAGGTTTGCTGTTGTTGTCTTATTTATTTTTGAAGCAGGGTCTTAGTCTGTTGCCAGGGCTAAAGTGCAGTGGCAACGTCATAGCTGCAACATCAAACTCCTGGGTTCAAGAAGTTCTTCTGCCTCAGCCTTCCCAGGAGCTGGGATGACAGCTGTATGCTACCACACCCCAGCTAATTTTTCTGGTTTTTGTAGAGACAAGATTTCACTATGTCCTTCGGGCTGATCTCCAACTCCTGGCCTCAACTGATCCTCTGCCCTTAGCCCCCTAAAGTGCTAGGATTACAAGCAGTTGAGCCACTGCACCCAGCCTTATACTTGAAGTTTTGATGAGACACACCTATACATGCACATACATTCACACACACACGTATGTGGAACACAGTACATGATGAAAATACTTTATTAAACATGTTATGCAGTCAAAGGTAATGTGAAATTAACTTTTTCATTTTCTTCTCCTCCTAAGTGAAAGAGTAACAGATTTCATTATCAGTTTGACAGGGTTTTTTGTTTTTGATTTTGTTTTTTCTTTCCAGAGCTTTAACAATGCCTTCTTGGAAGGCTTTCCAAAAAACTGAGAGCAAATGATTTTAATAAGAAGATGATTAATTCTTCTCCAAGTTAGTTGGTTTCCAATTTTTTTCTTTGAAAAAACTGAACAAGGACAGAATTGAACTGTCACTTGAAAAATCACATGTAATGATTTTTCATGATAAATAACTGTGGTATTTGGTTCACTGAACTGAATGATTTTAATAACAAAAATTATTAATATGAAAAAAGAATACAACTGATCCTGAAAATGTGTCTCTTTCTTTCAATATACCTACTTAACTGGATGAAAATAGTTCAATCCATCTTATTATGAGCTATTTCCAATAAAATGTTATTTTTTTCAGAAATTTTTGTTAAAAATTAATGTATGCTACTTTGAGCACTAAAAATAATTATAATGATAACTCAGCAGAAAAATTTTAATACCTAATGATTATGATTACAGAAACGAAACCAATTAAAAATTCAATTTAGATATACATCTTAGTTATAAAGTTATACAGTGCGAAAGGACAATCAATCAAGACTGCCAGATATATTTTTATTATTTAACAATGCACGATACTGTGGAGGAAATGGACTGGAAATAGTCCAAAGAGAATAATGAAATGATATAAAATTCCCTATTATCAACAATATTTTTATGTAGTTTTTAAATAGTAGATACATGATCATTGTGACTCTGTTTTCATTAGATACACTATACACTGTTGGAAAAGTATCATTTCAAAAGGTTAATATGTGAAGTGTTCCATAAAATCATATCCTTTGGAACTGTTTTAACTTTGAAAGAAAAATTTTAGAATCTAAAAATAGTAGGGCTCCGCAGCTCACAACTGTAATTCTAGCACTTTTGGAGGCTGAGATGGGTGGACTACTTGAGCTCAGGAGTTAGCAGAGCAGCCTGAGAAAGAGCAAGACCTCATCTCTACTAAAAATAAAAAGCTAGCTATTTCCTGTAGTCCCAGCTACTTGGGAGGCTGAGGCAAGAGGATGGTTTGAGCCCAAGAGCTTGCGGTTGCTGTTAGCTATAATGACAGGGCACTGTACCCAGGGTAACCAAGTGAGACTCTGTCTAAAAAAAAAAAAAAAAGAAGAAAAGAAAAAAGAACCTAAAAATATGTGCAGTAATAATATAATTTTTATATGGAGCACCGGAGTAAAAATTATTTATATAAACAGTTCAAGTAAAGGACTTGCTTGAATCTGCATTGGCATGGTAAGTGTACAATTTCTACTTGGATTTTATGTTATTTGGAGTAACTTGATGCCTGGGGTAACTGAGGAAGATCATGGAGTGATTATAATGTTTTTATTTCCCATGGTATAATACTTCTGTTTACAAACCATGAGCCTCAGAAAAGTGGCTCGAAGTCTTACGTTTAAATAAAAAAGGAAGTGACAACAGGAGACAGTCATCACATATTGAACACTCCCTCACTTAATACCTAAAACTTCTCTCTGAAGTGTTATCAATGCCCACTAGCAGGTGAGAAAGTTGAGCTTTTAAACAGGATCACAGACAGAAGTCGTAGAATTCATAGATTAGCAGGCCAAACGCCAGCAGCATGCGTCTGCCTCAGTTTTCTCATCCTAAAATGGGGATAGTAACATTGACTTTATAATTATTCCTCAAATATAGTCTCATCATCAAGGCAAGTAAAATTACTAACAATTTTCGGCAGAGAGTGGAAGCTACACATAGTCAGTCAGAGAGATGGACACACGTTGATATACACACTGGAAAAATAGAACACTTCTTATAACACACCCCCAAATATTCTCTGAGGTTGGTTACATCTCTTGGCAATGTGTTAAGGACAAGTCTCACCAGAGACTTGATGTATCCTAGTTTATATTTTAGAATCTGAATTTTGTAACCTAAGTGTAAGCAAGACGTCTGGGTGCCCATTAGGGGTCATGCGGACGCACTGAATCAGGCACAGACTATTTGACACTACTGAGGAGTTCAACTTACTTCTTGGGTAACTTCATTTTTTTCACCTTTTCTTCCGCATGTTCATCGGATATACCCACATGACATCCTAAGGCCAGCAAAGTTCTAGAAAACAAAACCAGAGATAAGCTGCAGTCGTTCCTTCTCCGTGTCCAGAATAACCCGACACAATAGCAGCGGGAATGGGATATAATCTTGAAGGCACCTTGCAATCACAGCAGAGGTCTTTGGCTTTTAAAGCAAAAGGGAAATTTGTTTACTTTAAAATTATTTACCTATGAGTAAGCGGAAAAGACACTGTAAATGGAAATAGCACAAAAACGAATACAATGAAAAGTAACCCAACCCCTTCCTCTCTCTCTGTTCCCTTCCCCAAAGACATCCTTTGATCCCTACAAATTTTCATATTTCCTGCTCGAGATAGGTGCACATACTGAAGGAGATACCTGTGTGTGTCTGTGCTGCTGTTTTAACCTTTTATACAAATGGAAATATACAAGAGACATTTTGAGACAACTTGCTTTTAGTATCCAAGCCAGTAAGTGATTTCTTCTGTCTGGAATGAGTAAGAGGTAATAGCATATCTTTTTCGGAATATATAATTTCTGGCCAGTTCCAATAAGGATATGATAATTATCTACAATCCATCTATACTTATCTCTACAACATTTTCAAAATGTGTGAGTAAATATGCATATATGTATATATGTGTATATATACACCCATATTTATAGATACACACACAGAGAGAAATGGATACATAGCCATATATACGTATAAGCTTATCTATATAAACAAACTATCCATATAAATATATATCTACATAGATCTCCCAGATACATATTTATATATGAATAACTATCCATCTATATACACACATAGTTATCAAGTTAAATTTTAGCTTAAATATGGCAAAATTAAGATGACTCCTGGAAAGTGCATTTCTCATGTGTCAAAGTACGAGACTCTTGACAACCAAGAACTTGCTGTAGGTATAGAATGTTGTACACAATGAATCTGCCAGTTAAAGTAGGGATGGTCAGCGATACAAGATGGATGTGCAGGAACAAACACAGGCTATTACACTTATGTGAACGTCCGGGGAGAGAAAGTGTTACGCCATCACCCTCCATTCATTAATTTATCCTTTCAATCAATATCTATTAAACACCACCAAGTGCCAGGCCCTGTGCTACAGACAATAACAGTGCCCAAGTGCAATGAGATTTGTAGAGGGCTAGGAAAGTATGCCTTAAATTCAGACAATTAAACCTTTGAGTGCAAGCACATCAGGAAATCTTCTGATTACAAAATTTCTTCCCGCTGTGATGTATAAAAATGGGCAGCAAAATGAATATTTTGGTGTGTAAGACAGTTGTTAACACTGCAAATTAGGCGGTGCCATAGCTCAGTGGGTGGGATGCCAGCCACACACACCAAGGCTAGTGGGTTCAAACCCAGCCCAGGCCAGCTCAACAACAATAACAACTGCAACAAAAAATATAGCCGGGCGTTGTGGTGGGCACCTGTAGTCCTAGCTACTTGGGAGGCTGAGACAAGATAATCACTTAAGCCTAAGAGTTGGAGGCTGCTGTGAGCTGTGACACTACAGCACTCTACAGAGGATAACACAGTAAAACTCTGTCTCAAAAACAAAACAAAAAAAAAAAACACTGCAAATTAGTACTTTAGCATTGCCCTCCATAAATGTAGTTAATGTGAGTCCACATTGACACTACAAAATCACGTGACGTGCCAACATCAGAAGGAGGCCTGAGCCATTGAAAATTCAGTTAGTTAATATCATCTTTAAAGGCTCTGAGAGACAGCTAGCACTTTCTGCCTCCCATATCATGATTTTCTCAGAACTCACTAATTCAGCCTATAATCTTCCCTCAATGCAAACTACCGAGAAAAGTACAATTTCAACTCACAGGAATAGTCAACATAACATACCACACTTGATAGAGAACACAAGTCAATCAATATTCATTGAGTTTCCTCTACTTAATAAGGTACCTTGAAGTAGCCTCCCCTGACTCAGTGGATGCCTGAAACCAAGAATGGTACCAAGCCCTGTATGTACTCTGTGTTTTTTCCAATATACAGACAACTATGATAAAGTTCACTTTATAAATTAGGCCAATAAGAGATTAGCAAAAATAATTAGCAACAGAACAATTGTAACAATGCACTGTTCACAGTTCACGGACAGAGACCTGTTATGACTGCCAATCTGAGCAAGCTCAGCACAGGATCTTTTTCTCCTTTTGTTGAGAACTTTCACCTTTTCACTGAAAGGAAGCTCACGCTACAGTTTCTCTTTGGGACGTTCAAATTGCCAGCGTCACTACTCCTTTACTGTGTGGCCATGTTTAAGTAAAGATAAGAGTGATCTGCTCACAGGCACCATGACGCCAGATAACCCAGCCCACCCTAAGGGAACGAAGAGAGCAGAGTGTCTCCAGCACGTAGATACCCTGGACAAAGGGGGGGACTCGTGTCCCATGTAGGGTGGAGGGTGACAGCATGAGATTTCTTCCTGCTACTCAGAAGGGCATGCAATTTAAAACTTACAAATTATTTATAGAATTTTACATTGAAGATTGTCAGGGTGCTAGTACACACTTTTCTGTTGAACAGTGCTTGCAGTCTGATGGGAAAGAAGATAATGGTAAAAAATTATAATAAAATCAAGTAAGGTTTGAAGGAAAAGTTATTTTAAGATATGCCAAGAAGGGTAATTAATATTTCAAAAGCAAAGATATGTCGAAATCAGGGATAAGGAGATGAGGCAGTACATGGTCCAGGCTGGGGGACAACGTGGACCAGCGGGGGGGCAGGATGTGGGTTTATGTGGCAGGGGAGGGAAAGAGCTGAGTACAGGGCCTGCCCAGGAGCTGTATGGTGAGGGTAAAAGGAACCACTCCGGCAAGCCTGTGGTGTACAACATGCTCAGTAAATATTTTGTAAGCATGATGGCTAATTATGTGTCAACCCAGGCCACAGTATCAAGAAACCTGGCCAAATATCAGTCCATGGGTTTCTGTGAAGCTGTTTGGGGCTGACACTAACATTTAAAATGGTGATGTTTAAGTTAAGCAGACTACCCTCCATATTGTGGGTGGCCCATGCATAACTATCCAATCAGTTAAGGCCTGGACAGAACAGGAAGACTGGCTTCCGCTGAGCAAGAGGGAACACTGCCACAAGTCAGCATTGGGATGGGCACAGCCACTCTCCCCAGATCTCCAGTTTGCTGGCTCACCCCATTAATATTCTGCATTTGAGGCTGGGTATGGTGGCTCACACCTGTAATCCTAGCACTCTGGGAGGCTGAGGCAGGTAGATTGCCTGAGCTCACAGGTTCAAGACCAGCCCCAGCCCTGTCTCTAAAAAAAAATAGCTGTGTGTTGTGATGGGCCCCTGTAGTCCCAGCTACAGCTACTCGGGAGACTGAGGCAAGAGAATCACATGAGCCCAAGAGTTTGAGTTTGCTGTGAGCTATGATGCCAAGGCACTCTACCAAGGGCAACAAAGTGAGACTCTATCTCAAAAAAAAAAAAAAAA